TTGTTGTCATGTTTTCTTCATACAAAAAAATGTTTTGGCTCATGGTTTTAATTAATAACATATCTGGAAAAAAATATCGTTTCTCAATACAGGATTTCAGAGCCCCCCGAATATCAAAAGGTCAGTTTCTAAGTGATCCCATTTATCTGGACGGAAGATCAATTTCATTGGAATCAACACCGTGAATGTAATTATATGAGCAATATATACGATCATTTCAGGAAATACGGAACAGGTAATATCTTAATGCATATTCATCACGTTTTCTGAACATTTTCTGACATAAACACCTGTAGATCTACATTATTCACATCTGCCTGTTGAAATAATGTGCCATTCACTTTATTCACCAATTCACTTTAGCACGCTTGTACAATGTAGTAATGTAGGATGTGTGTATTCCTACGCCGAACATTTTTGAGTGTAAGTACATTTTGTTTACCGTATCTATTAACATTATTTGAATAAGGCCACCCGTAATTTCAGATTGATGAGGGAGAAAGGCCCAACGTTGTGTTGTCAATCAAAGATTATCTTTGACTCATGTCATGCAGTTTCATGCAGTTTCCTCCCTTTTCACGGCAATCTGTACTTTTCTAAATCACTCTCGTCAAGATGGGAGTAGACCATTTTATTCTACAGATACATTTGTAGTTAGAGCTGCTGTTGATTTCAAAGGGGAAAATATCTAAGTACAACGTTGACAGGCAACTATCTATCTCAGAAGTTAATTCTTGCATTGACGGTTTAAAAATTTATTTGAACGGTTTAAATTATTTGTGCTAACAATGTCATTTAATTTAATATTCATTACATCTTTTGATGTACTATGGACACATGTGAGCTCAAGGTGATATCGACAGGGAGAGCATCCATCTCGTCATTCTTCATTCGTCAACCCACATGCACATCCCGGACATGTTAAAACAGATATACCATCTTTACTGCGACAGTTCATGTTTTTAACAGTAAATAGTTTATCTTCGCAAAGTTGAAATTTGCAGTGTATAATTATTATTGGCAAATTCCACATCGACGTGTTTTACATTTTGTTAAACTGACGGTATTTGTATTTTGGAGTATTTGGATGGACAAGGAATTTGTTTAAAGTTTTTAGGCTGTCTAGTGCTGCGTATCAGTTTACACTTAGATAAACATGTTTTCATAGTTTTACTTTGCTGTAAAATTGGAAGATTGGCTTTTATAAGGGGAACAAATTTACAGTTTCTAGGATTGTAGGTACACACAGATGGAAGAATGTTCGTGTCTGTATCTGTTTCTTATATTGAAATATCCCATGAATATCCTTGCAATTGGAGATATGTCTTTAATTCTTCGAAAGTCACTTGTTAATATATATATATATAAATATATATATATATATATATATATATATATATATATCTTATAGAAGGATGTATATATATTTGTTTCTTTGTCTTTATGATGTTTTATGCATCACTCAGCAATATTTCAGCTAAATGATGGCGGTCTATAAATAATCGGGCATCGATCTACGCAGTTGGGATACGATGACATGCATGTGATTCATGTTTCTTGAGAATGTATTGTATAATCAAGAGCGCAATACGTTCTCTTTATCAATGCAATCATCTATATATGTGTGAGTATTACAGATACTTGAGTTGAGTCCTGACAACGCACTCCTTTATTCATCATAAGTAGAAACCGGATACATGGTCTCTTGGAAGAAGAAAAACATTTCCTGTCTGTTTATCAACGGTATCAACAGGAAGTATTGGATGACGAAAGCTGAAACACCATGTCGGATAAGTGGCAAAACGGATAGGAGATACCTTTGTCTCTGACCCTTGATTTGCCAGTTAACGAGAGCATATATCTGTAAAGATCTAGATCTGTGTAAGAATTGGAATGTGTCTTAAATATTTCAAAGTTACTTTGACTGTGCCTTCAGACAAACAGACAACTGTACAGACACTATATTTCAGGGACAGGCCATCGGCCCATACAAGATAAATCGGCCGAAAATACATTAAAATAGCATGATATAGCATGATAAATCACGCATGCTAGAGTAATACATATGGTATAAGAGTAATACATATGATATAAAGGTATTGGGTGTTTCATAATTTGTAGCTTATTGCTGAGAATATACCAAAATTATGAAGGACATTCTATGGAGTATTTAAGTAGTTTCAGTTATGAATCACAATAAAAAATCCTGACCAACCAGTGGTACCTGTCACAAACACATGCAAAAGTAAATCAATTTTTCACATGAAAAAAACAGAATTGCATTGGACATAATTTTGGTTTCTGAAATTTCCGCCACAGTTCTATCATAAAACAAATTGAAAGCTTTGATAAGGCTTTCAATGTTGATCAAACCCTGATCATACAACTTTTGAGCAAGAGTCGTATGACGCTCTTTGAAATCTTCGTCGAACAAGCATGTCGATTGTACCCCAGATGTGTAATGTAGACACGAAGGGAAAGTTGAAGCGATCATTTGTGTGACATTGTTGATATTTTTAGTCACACTCATTGGGCAATTTGACCATTACTGAATGATATCAGATCATCTATAAACCTGAAGCTTAACTTACACTTTTTGGCCAAATTCCTTGTTTTGTTTCTGAAGTACAGTGAAACCCCATTTATCCATTAGTCACAAGTATTGTCCATTTAGTAGTTACAGTAACTGTCCAGATAAACGTTGGTTGGTTGGTTGGTTGGTTGGTTTGTTGTTTAACGCCGCACTGAGCAATATTCCAACCATATGACGGCGGTCTGTAAATAATCGAGTCTGGACCAGACAATCCAGTGATTGATATCTTGAGCATCAATCCACGCAATTGGGATCGATGACATGCATCAACCAAGTCAGCGAGCCTGACCACCCGATCCCGTTAGTCGCCTTTTACGGCAAGCATGGGTTGCTGTGGACCTATTCTACCCCGGATCTTCTCGGGATAAACGACGCCCGGACTTTAACAGTTCACTTTATTTGTCGATAATGTTCTTCACATGAGGATAACTATTTACAGCAGATTAATCCATAATACACAGAGCTTGTCATAGATCATGATATGTTCGACAAACCATATCAAGGTTGATGAAAATTCAGGTAAATGCGAAATATTTCTAAATTCACTAATCAAATGTAAATATTACAATTACCTGCCCATACTACATAATGTATTTGTACCAGCACTATGCTGTGTTCCTTAAACAACAACTTATTTACCACATTTATTTTCATTGAACCTTTTACACACAGAACATGTTGCGACGAATATGGAATGTAAGAGCAATATTAATTCCAATACAACTTTTTGGCTCTGATAACTCTTTGGAACGATATTTATCCATTTTACATCTACATTTTTAGAGGTACAAGTACAAATAAAGTTCATGGAAATTTGGCAAGATGAAATAATTCTTGATAATTATTAATAATATTTTAAAGTTTCATTTACCAGCCCAAAAATAAAGTTTTATTCATGGGAGACGAGCGCGGAGAAGAGGAATCACAATTTTGTTGTTATTTGTTCGAGCAAAGGAAATGATTCCTACATTAAATTTCATGCAATTATTTTCCGCAGCAATTGCGTAACGCGTGTTGTTTAACTGAAACACGTGTAAGCAGCTATAGAACAGTGTGCATAGTCCTCGGTACAGCCGTGAGAGTACATGACTCATTCGACGCGAGTCGTGGCTGATAGTATACGTCCTTCCCGAGATCAACTGACACGACTCCATAGGACTGAGTTACTGCAGGTGAGGGGGCACGGGTGGCCCAGTCGTCTAAGGCGCCGCGATTCGCTGTGCAGAGTTGCGTCTCTTAGGCACGCCAGAAATCCCGGTTCGCCCCAATTATGTTTCTAGGTTTGTCAGCACCGTACCCGGGCTCGTGGGTTTCACCGAAGTGGTAAACGTCTGAGACCTGCATCACTTCGGGCTTTCCTGTTAAAAGAGGCGTTAAACCAAACTCACTCACTGACTCACTACTGCAGGTGACCATTGACTGGAATTTTGTTTGTATCTTTAGCTGGGACTAAGTATTTTCTATTCAAGTTTTTAACGCACAAAATAATAATGCCGGGAGATCCTGGGTTTCCTGGATAGATAGGTGTGACAAAAATATTTAGTGGCAGGTCCCTCGCTTACAGCGAAATTTGTCGGCCAAGTATGCGTTTACCTTCGCCAGTCCCAACCTCTCATATGTGATGAGGACTTAGCATGAACCTGAATCTCACTGTGAAAGGTAGATTTGTATTGGCAGCTTGTGTTCTGATGTGGGAACTATGGTGAGTGATATGTTAAAGACACTGATACAAACTCACCAAACCGGCGACGAAGTTGTGTAAACATCATTTCTAATAATTACTTCTGGGTTGTCACGAATCAGTATTTTCAGAGTCGTTGTTAGTTCGGAATTCAATAGAGTATTCAATGAGTAAATAAAACGGTCAGATACGAGCGCGTACTAGGAGTGGGTGAGTGAGTATGGTTTTACGCCGCTTTTAGCAATATTCCAGCAATATCACGGCGGGGGACACCAGAAATGGGCTTCACACATTGTACCCATGTCGGGAATCGAACCCGGGTCTTCGGCGTGACGAGCGAACGCTTTAACCACTAGGCTACCCGACCGCCCCGCGCGTACTAGGAGCCGCCATAGTTCCTGCGCAATAAGTCCCTTATCCTTCGTGTAGGTCCAGGTCGGGGAAAGCCAATTTCAGAGCGCTCTAAATACAACTGACGTGGTTGGGGAACCATGATGTCGATTAAACTTAGAAATAACGCAATACTGATTGAACGCAATTCATTTATTGACAAATTACGGGTAGATATTATCTTTGCGATAAAGTCACTGAGGTTTATTGACGCTGGATCTCACACAGTACATATGTTGTGTATGGGAACCTTCTCTAGAATTGTAAGCTCTTATTCAAATACTTGAGCGATGTGTGGGCGGTTCTGTCCAAAAATGAGTAATGTTGTCATGTGACAACGAAAGCTTCCCATTGGTTGATGAGCTGCGTATTTATCTGTGACTTTTGTCATTGACACCGACTAGTCGGTTTTGAGGAGTTAATATCTGAAGTGAAACTTGATCATTCGTAACAGGGTAGTCCCACGAACGATTCGCCCTCATGGACCAGGCACACAACCTCGTAGGCAATGTCTGGGGTCCCGTAGGGTCCTTTCCGCTTGTCTGTGGTCTGGATCCGGTTATGCCCGATCCCCCGGACACTGGCCTGAATATGGCTGTGCCCGACCCCCAGGACAATGGCCTGAATATGCTGATGACCGATCCTCAAGACGATCGCCTAAATCTGGTTATGCCTGACTCCCAGGACGATCGCCTGAATGTGGCTGTGCCCGACCCCCCGGACACTGGCCTGAATATGGTGATGACCGATCCTCAAGACGATCGCCTAAATCTGGTTATGCTTGACACCCAGGACGATCGCCTGAAAATGGTTATGCCCGACCCCCCGGACACTGGCCTGAATATGGTGATGACCGATCCTCAAGACGATCGCCTAAATCTGGTTATGCCTGACTCCCAGGACGATCGTCTGAATATAGCTGTGCCCGACCCCCAGGACAATGGCCTGAATGTGGTGATGACCGATCCTCAAGACGATCGCCTAAATCTGGTTATGCCTGACTCCCAGGACGATCGTCTGAATATAGCTGTGCCCGACCCCCAGGACAATGGCCTGAATGTGGTGATGACCGATCCTCAAGACGATCGCCTAAATCTGGTTATGCCTGACTCCCAGGACGATCGTCTGAATATAGCTGTGCCCGACCCCCAGGACAATGGCCTGTATATGGCGATGACCGATCCTCAAGACGATCGCCCGAACATCATCGTGTCCACCCCCCAAGGCAATGGTCTGGATCCTGAGGTTGCCCGGGCCATGGCTGCCACAAGCGAGTGTAACAGCATGATGCCGCTGATCAAACTGGAGCTCAACACCAAAATCAAGTTAAGACGACCCAACCTGACTGTGTCAAGTCAGCCGAGTCCACTACCCGAGGTAACATCTGCTACATTATCATATTATGATTAACTTCATTTATTACACCCAAAACGAGACGTGTTTTTCAAGGTTAATCCACGTTGGCCTTGAGATAAACATATGAGTCAGAATGTCGCTTATAAAATATCATAGACGGATCCGGACTGATACTTAGTGATATTTTAATTCACTGTTGTAAAAATGCTCCTTACAAAACTATTTATGCAGCAATGCTGGTAAGGAATTGTTAAATGAATTTTCTATATTCGATAATGTTGATACTGCTGAAGGAAAACTTAGTGATATTTTAATTCACTGTGGTCAAAATGCTCCTTACAAAACTATTTATGCAGCAATGCTGGTAAGGAATTGTTTAATGAATTTTCTATATTCGATAATGTTGATACTGCTGAAGGAAAACTTAGTGATATTTTAATTCACTGTGGTCAAAATGCTCCTTACAAAACTATTTATGCAGCAATGCTGGTAAGGAATTGTTTAATGAATTTTCTACATTCGATAATGTTGATACTGCTGTTGGACAACTTTGTGATATTTTAATTCACTGTGGTAAAAATGCTCCTTACAAAACTATTTATGCAGCAATGCTTGTAAGGAATTGTTAAATGAATTTTCTATATTCGATAATGTTGATACTGCTGAAGGAAAACTTAGTGATATTTTAATTCACTGTGGTAAAAATGCTCCTTACAAAACTATTTATGCAGCAATGCTGGTAAGGAATTGTTAAATGAATTTTCTATATTCGATAATGTTGATACTGCTGAAGGAAAACTTAGTGATATTTTAATTCACTGTGGTAAAAATGCTCCTTACAAAACTATTTATACAGCAATGCTGGTAAGGAATTGTTAAATGAATTTTCTATATTCGATAATGTTGATACTGCTGTTGGACAACTTTGTGATATTTTAATTCACTGTGGTAAAAATGCTCCTTACAAAACTATTTATGCAGCAATGCTGGTAAGGAATTGTTTAATGAATTTTCTATATTCGATAATGTTGATACTGCTGTTGGACAACTTTGTGATATTTTAATTCACTGTGGTAAAAATGCTCCTTACAAAACTATTTATGCAGCAATGCTGGTAAGGAATTGTTAAATGAATTTTCTATATTCGATAATGTTGATACTGCTGTTGGACAACTTTGTGATATTTTAATTCACTGGGGTAAAAATGCTCCTTACAAAACTATTTATGCAGCAATGCTGGTAAGGAATTGTTTAATGAATTTTCTATATTCGATAATGTTGATACTGCTGTTGGACAACTTTGTGATATTTTAATTCACTGTGGTAAAAATGCTCCTTACAAAACTATTTATGCAGCAATGCTGGTAAGGAATTGTTTAATGAATTTTCTATATTCGATAATGTTGATACTGCTGAAGGAAAACTTAGTGATATTTTAATTCACTGTGGTCAAAATGCTCCTTACAAAACTATTTATGCAGCAATGCTGGTAAGGAATTGTTAAATGAATTTTCTATATTCGATAATGTTGATACTGTTGTAGGAAAACTTAGTGATATTTTAATTCACTGTGGTAAAAATGCTCCTTACAAAACTTTTTATGCAGCAATGCTGGTAAGGAATTGTTAAATGAATTTTCTATATTCGATAATGTTGATACTGCTGAAGGAAAACTTTGTGATATTTTAATTCACTGTGGTCAAAATGCTCCTTACAAAACTATTTATGCAGCAATGCTGGTAAGGAATTGTTAAATGAATTTTCTATATTCGATAATGTTGATACTGCTGAAGGAAAACTTAGTGATATTTTCATTCACTGTGGTAAAAGCGCAGGAGCATATGTTACTGTTACTGACCTTGTACAAATCGGGTACAAGGTGTGAGACCAGTTATTATAGGGGAATTTCTGTTTTAAATGTAACGGATGCTGTTTACTTTTATTACAGAAAACACGCCTCAGAGTTTGGTTGGATGTGAATAATCGTCTATCTAAATCTCAGGCTGTTTTCGCCCAAACTTTTCAACGGTTGACAATATATTTATACTGCAAGCTTGATGTCCCAAATATTTATGTAAGCCTAGGGTCGCTTTTATTGTGCATTTGTAGATTTCTAAAAAAGCTTTCGATTGTGTAGATAGAGAAAAAATGTTATCTTTACTTCTTACCAAAGGATGTCATGGGAATTTGTTTCTAGTTCTGAAAAATATGTATTTATGGGTAAAGGCTTGTATTAAAAAACAATCTGGTAGAACACAGTGCTTATTATCCTATTATTATCCTTCATGGTTTCCTAGGTTGTTGTTTAACGCCGAACTCATCAAAATTTCAGCTGTATGTTGGTGTTCTGTGTAAAATCGAGTCTTAACAACCAAGTGACTGACATTGATGCCATGACATCAATCAAGTCTAATACAGGTCGGGTGGTCAGGCTCCCTGACTTGGTTGATGCATGTCATCATATCCCAATAGCTCATGATTGGAATGCCTGGTCCAGACACGATTATTTACAGACCATTGTCAATAGTTGGAGTATTGCTGACTGCGGCGTTACACAACACACAAACATTTATTTATTTATTTATTATTATTATTTTTTTTATTTTTTTTAAACTCACAACATTAAGAACAATCTGAACGCAATGATTAAGTCACTGCAAGCTGTAACAGGTTTTGTAAAATTATACATTTTTCAGATGACACTGGGGGATTTGGACCGACGGGAAAAAGTCAGGAAAAGAAATAAACATCACGCTAACATGAGTCGAAAGAGAAAAAAGGCGAAAGTGAAAATATTGAAAGAGGTAATATGGAGTTTACATCATACAGTTAAACCTCTTTAATCCGGACTCAGATTTATTTTATTCGTCAATGGTAGACCCGGAAATATGTCCATAAATACGCTTCCGTCCGATTAATGGTGTTTCATTGTATAGATTTGTATGATCTACATCCGGTATATAAAGGGCATGTATGTTAAAACGTTGTACTCGAATTGTAAGGCAGTGTTGCGGAAGCTTTGTGGCAGCTTTAACATCTACTTGGCGTCAGTATGAGTGAGTGAGTTGGGCGGTGGTTTAGTTTATCGGAGAAACAAGGCCACGCTGAGGCAGGTCGTAGATGTCCAACCTCATGAGAACAAAGGTTTATAATCGGGTTAATCTGGAATTCGAACTCAGAAGATCCTGGCAATGCAAGAATGTAACTTGAGTGGGGCGATGGGGTCGCCTGGTGGACCTGGGTTCGATTCCCTACATGGTTACAATGTGTCGAGGCTATTTTAGGTGTCCCCCGCCGTGATATTGCTGGAATATTGTTAAAAGCGGCATAAAACCATACTCACTCACTCACTCACTGTAACTGGATAAGCGGCGTCTTAAACCTTTGTACCACTAGTAGCCATACTAAAATTGACATTGTTCAGCCATTTTTTAATTTAGCAATTCATCCATGCTTTTTGAAAGTTCAAGGACTACCAGCTTATGCATGTATCAGTCCTCAAATCTAATGAACAGATAATCGAAATTTTCCTTTTGACCCACACGGATTTATTTCTGGGCGTTTGGGTGTATGATTTGGAATAAAGTTTTGTATTTTTTCTCTTTTGTCATTCAAGCACTTTATATCTACTGATATATAAAACAGACAAAACCCTTTGCACAGTCAGGGGCGGTCGGGTAGCCTAGTGGTTAAAGCGTTCGCTTGCACGCCGAAGACCCGAGTTCCGATTCCCGACATGGAGCCCATTTCTGGTGTCTGCCGCCATGATATTGCTGGAATATTGCTAAAAGCGGCCTAACACCATACTCACTCACTCACTTTCGACAGTCTGCGTCAAGCAGAGTCCATTATACATGGATATTATACATATCATAAGCATGTGTTTATGAATATAGATAATAAATTATTTATGGTATAATAGTATGGCTATGCATATTTGTGACATGTCATGGATGATCTAATCAATGTAGTTATGAGATTTGATCAATAAAATTCGCATTGTTTGAATCTATTCTATTTTGATCATAATACCCAGATGAGAAAGGTGCGCTACATGACCTCTTGGCTGTCTTTAAGTGCTAAATATATGACGAAGACGGATAGGTCCACGTTGCTACAGGGATCAGAGTCTCGCAACATCATGAGTGTTCTGACGGGTGAACATGTGGGAAACATGGCCGTCATGGTTTAACACGCCAACACTACCTTCAGTTCGTCGCTGCCTTTCAAACAATAAACCCGATTGCAAAATGAAAGTTCAAATATAGCAATGACCGTTAAACAGCATTCACTTCCCATTGTTTTATTTATGTCTCATCCAGGAGATCGCGCGATATGAAACTGAGAACGCCCTCCTGATGGAAGAGATCGCCAAAAGCCGTGGACAGAACACGGTCCTGGAGGACATTCTCCATCACCACGAGTGTCGTCATCAACTTCCCCAGGATATCCGGCCTACGTGAAATAATCTGTTTCGGGCATCCTGTCGTCACCCTGAATCAGGCTCCATTTTAAAATTAGGATCATACGCATTCCTGCATTCCTTTTTGTGTTGAATATGCGTCGCAAACTTTTCCTCGAACTATGTAGCTCTCACAGTGACTATATTTCTCTCAAAACAAGACCATATCATGTTCGTTTTAGTAATGACCATTCATTAGTGGGTATGTCATGTTACATGCACGCCACCTGTTATCCTAACATTTAAAACTAGGGTCCAGATCGCGCTGTCCGGAACAAATGTAATGATTTCCCAAGCAGCGCGACTGGGGGTGGATGACGTCATTGCTATGACAACGCACCTTTGGTCTCGCGGGACAGGATACGATTCAAGGCGATTCAGCTGCTATTGAAGCAGATTGTCGTGACACAGGTTGATTGACACGCAGTAGAAACAGTTCGCTGTGCACTACCCTGACGTGGCAGTGTCTTTGCTTGACTATGACTACAATGTACGCTAAAGCTTTCACTACATCTGACTGCTCGAATATCTGGATTCTTTTATTACCGTATTTCTTCTATTAGACGCCGGGCCTCTATGGACGCCGGGCTCTTATAGAAGCCGGGTCAATTGTTCACTGCAAAGAATAGAAGCCGGGCCTCTAATAGACGCCGGGTCGATCAATTGATACAATTAATGACCCCTTTTTGGGATTCGTGGTCATAGTGAAATGGGGGTATCAATAGAAGCCGGGCCTCCAAAAGACGCCGGGCCTCTAATTGACGCCGGGACAAAGGCTTGTCCGAAATAAATAGAAGCCCGGGCGTCTAATAGAGGAAATACGGTATATATATCCATGCGTATGACACACCTAAGAGCGTGAGTAAACGGAGCAATGGACCCAGAAACAGTCGGCCATCCTGCTTTTCTCGGTATCAATGCCAGTCAATATACGTGCCCTTTAACTATCGTCTCTGTGTGGCAATCTTGGAGAAAGGGGATGGTTGGTTAGACTCTGGTGTATCCGAAACAAATGATACTTCCTCCCCATCCTTTGTCTGTCTCCTGATCCAAACGTCATGATTTATATGAAGCTAACAGTCAACTGGGGCAATGTCTCTGTTTCACACAGGACAATCAGAACTCTGTCTGGCCACAAGGCCGAGGAGTAACGTACCCCTTTAGACAACATAGCGCTAAGATCGTTTTGTGTCCTGAAACGTGGACTTGCGAAAATCACCCGAAACGATGACGCGACCGGAATTTTCTGAAGCACAGACCACGTGCTAGGTTTTACAAGCTCTAGTTTTACTGAATAAGCACAAGGATGAAAGTTGCTGTTCAAAAACTGTTTGATAGACACATAAATGATTTCTTTATATTAGAAAAAAATATTTTCTGTAGTTTCTCTAACATATAAATATTAAACTGTTTCGTAAACTTCGTGACATGTTTGTTGTTGCTGTTGTTGTTGTTATTATTATTTATTGTATTTCCTATTTACATAGTGTATATGGATCTGTTTGCGGACTGTTGGATCAGATACAGAGCGTGTAATGTCACTACTGCTAACCATGATTGTGCAGTGCTTAATGGGCTATGAATGATGGCGATGGTATGAGAACATTTTATTGCCACAGGGGTAGCGGGGTAGCTTTGTATTATTATATTTGTTTGGAGAAACCCTAGGCCGATTTATTGTTCCTAAACATGAGACCCGTGAAGATATCTGGGGTAGAATAGGTCTTCAGCAACTCTGCTTGTCGTTAGAGGCGACTAACGGGATCGGGTGGTCAGGTTCGCAGACTTGGTTGTTGTATGTCATCGATCCCAATTGCGTGGATTGATGGTCATGATATTAATCACTGGACTGTCTGGTCAAGACTCGAATATTTACAGACCGCCGTCATATAGCTGGAATATTGCTGTGTGCGGCGTTAAACAACAAACCAACCAACCAACCTAAACACAAGCTTTCTCATTCACCGGCCTATTTCTGTCATCCTTAGTAATCTGGTTTCTCCACATTCTCCACAAAGCTCTGATAAATTGCCTTGGCCCCTTCGTCACCTAAGCTTCATTGCGGATGTGACGAGACAACCTATATTTCCCTATCAAGAACATAAAGCACAGGGTTACTTGATAGGATGGCTGTTTTAAGGGTCATGTTTTTCGAATCGGGCTCAAAACGAGGGCACGGCTGCGAATAGCTCCAGGATATTTATGGTAATCATAGTCAATGACAGACTCAACGCAGACGAAAACGTATGTTCTAAAATTTAGACGCCCCTCCACAAAGGATTGAGAATATGTGACATTTGTTTGCAGAATTTTCATCTGCGGCAAGCAAGGCAATATATAAAATAGACATTAGTATATTTTTATATTCATCAATAGTTATACCACGATTTAAATCGTTAATGTCAGTCACTACGTCATGTATATAAATAGAATGAAAGTCGGTGACAGTTTACATCCTTTTTTACACTAAGTGAAACATTGAATCGAGTCGTTGGTGACACATGTTACATCCATATAAAATCAAAGCGACAAAACCATAATCAAAATAAATCTCTGCTCAAAGTAAAAACCCTTTCCATAATCATAATAAATATCAGCTAAAGCAGAGTCGATTGTACGATTCCGACTATGTCATGACCACGTGTTCATGAATCACTATCAAATGGTAATGATACCAGGTGTTCGCGGTAAGGTTAGAGTATCCTGTCCCACCGATAGCGTCCGTCACAAACACATGTAAAGAAAAGTCAATTGTTTAAATGAAAAAAAAAACATTTGGTAGAAGACAAAATAAGGAAGTGCATTAGAGGTTACGTTTTGTCACTGATACATCAAATTTGGAAATGTCCCCCACATGTCTAACATAAAACATTTGCTGGGGCCTCGAATGTTAGAATCTTGATAAAACATCTTTTGAGCAAGAGTCATTACAAGATGACGCTGTTTGTTATATTCCGAGAAAGAACGTACTGAATTGTACCTCAAAGTGTAGACACCAAACGCTGGGGTTGCTGGAAGACATAAAGGGAATGTTGACAAATGGAGATTTGGAGTCATCCTTTTTGTATAACTTTGTCACCGCTGTTTTGCATTGTACCCCAATGGAATCTGTTTCTTCGAGGGGGGGTCGGGTAGCCTAGTGGTTAAGCGTTCGCTCGTCACCCGGGTTCGATTCCCGACATGGGCGCAATGTGTGAAGCCCATTTCTGGTGTCCCCCGCCGTGATATTGTTGGGATATTGCTAAAAGCGGCGTAAAACAAAACTCACTCACTCTAATCTTCAGATAATTGATAAGTTTATATCATATTGTACAGCTTCAAAAATGGTTTCTAGTATACCAAGAGATATTATTTTGTACCAAAGGTCCACTCTGCTACCGGTTTTCGCTAACACCTGGTGTCATCACTGTTGCTTAGTTTGTTTGTTTCCAGTGATTGACATCATGAACATCGATCTAGGTAATTGGGATACGATGACATGCATCAACCAAGTCAGCGAGCCTGACAACCCGATCCCGTTAGTCGCCTCTTACGACAAGCATAGTCGCCTTTTACGACAGGCATGGGTTGCTGAAGATATATTCTACCCCGGATCTTCACAGGTGCTGTTGCTTTGTGACACATTCATAAAATGTTCGCCACAATTTTCCCTTATGCGCCTTGTGGGATCGAAGATAATCGAGACTGTTTTTATATTTCTATCATAGCAACAAAACAAAACAAACATTACATAGGTTGACAATTTAAAGGTTTTACGGTTGTTGATATCATATCTTATAAAGTTTCTAAGTGCTCAATACAGTTTTTATCCGATCTAAGCCCATTCTGCTCTTCACGAGGTTCGCACACTGTAGTAAATGTGGTTAAGATCCACTAGTCCAATAATTTTGACATGTTTAGGTCTAAACCTAGATTGATGAACTGCTGTAGTCCTCGCCACTTGAAATAGAATCACGAAATATCGCGATCATTAATCAACGAACATAGCTGCATGTGTGATAATACTTACAAAGTGAAAACAAGCCATTCCGCCTATAGGGAATATTACTTACAAGGATGACAAAATTGCAACGTGAGCTTTTCAAGAAATATCAATCTGAAAAATCATCATGGTATTTTGATCACGTGGTTATTAATCCGATTAAGGGTCTGCAGTCAGGTGACAAGGAGCGACGGTACATAGCAGTGGGTGCAGTGTGCGTACATTACCAGCACGAGCTGTAAGAAAATTACGTGCAAATGTAGTATTTAAAGCGTAATTGACCAAAGTCACTGCACAATATTACCTCTCGCAGTCAACCGACTGTTGATTTTAGTAATTTAATGGTGATGTTTATTTCTAAGAAAATTGACGTTTCTTGAAAAGCGTACTTTCCTATGTTTGTCATTGCTGTAAGTAATAATCCTTATCGGTGGAAAGGCATGTTTTCTCTTTATAAGTATTAACACACATGCAGCTATCTGCGTCAATTAATCGTCGCGATATTTCGTGATTCTATTTCAAGTGTTTAAGGTTAAATGTGAGAAAGGCACGCACACACACACACACACACACACACACACACACACACACACACACACCTTTGAAATTCTTTGTAGGTAATTTTAAAAGGGGGCGTCAATTAGGGATACAGAAGTTTGGGGAGTTGGATATGTTTCGTTCTCAACGAGTTTACATTCTAAACACATTTTACAATGTATTTGATTCCAACCATTTCCGTAAGGTAGTTCGGATAGACGATATTTATAAAACAATTAACCAGAGGACAACATGTACATCCCCCTGCAACATCATCAATGTGCAGTTTCCACGTACAATTACGTTGTAATGTAATACCTAGGTGCTTATGACTTTGTACATCTTTGATTTCTGTACCATTCATATATAAGTTAGGTTTGCGACTAGGGTTTACTGAACGGGTAAATTGAAAAGATTCAGTTTTATCGTTTATTTAATTTTAACTTGCCATCTGACAGCCCCTTCTGACATTCTGTCCAAGACTGAAGTAATTATTGAGATTACTAGCAACTATATCGGGATCTTCTGTGATCTTATGTTATAGATAATAAACAATAATGGTCTAAAGAACGAGCCCTCTGGCACACCTGCCTAGACTGCTTTTGGATCTGAGCTTTAGATATCGATTTTCTAAGTAACTATCAAACTATTTTAATAAATTCCCCAGATACCATAATGTTCTAGCTTATAAATTATTCCTTTGTGCCAAACTTTATCAAAAACTTTACCTATGTCACAAAATAGGGCTCTAACTTCCTTACCTACATCTAACGATTTTGCAATAAAGTCATATAAATTAATATGTCAACTTAATGTGGGAGGAAAGCCCGAGCTGAAACCCATGAGCACGGTTTTGGTGCTGACAAACCTTAAAAAACAATCGGGGCGAATCCAGATTTGAACCCACAACTATAGGTTTCTAGAGTGTCCAAGGGACGCAACTCTCCCCAAGGAACAATAGAGGAGGATTTCATGTCATCCGCAAATAGTGCCAAATCATTTGCCCCCATGATTGTTAACATAAACAGTTAACATGTCGAGGAAGCTTTATGTAAACTTTATGGGATATTGTGCAATAGTTGAGCAATTGAGTGAGTGAGTGAGTTGGGTTTAACGCCGCTTTTAACAGTATTCCAGTAAGATCACGGCGTGTCAGCTTACTGTGGGAAGAAAGTGATTGAGTGAGTGAGTTAGGTTTAACGCCACTTTGATATTGATGTTGATGTTTGTTGTTTAACGCCGCTCACAGCAATATTCTAGCTATATGACGGCGATCTGTAAATAATCGAGTCTGGACCAGACAATCCAGTGATTGGCATCATGAGCATCGATCCACGCAATTGGGATACGATGACATGCATCAACCAAGTCAGCGAGTCTGACCACCCGATCCCGTAAGTCGCCTCTTACGACAAGCATAGTGGCCTTTTACGTCAGGCATGGGTTACTGAAGACCTATTCTACCCCGGATCTTCACGGGTCAACGCCGCTTTGAACAGTATTCCAGTTATATTGCTGCGTGTCAGCTAAATGTGGGAGGAAAGCTGATATTTCTGTACCTATTTGCCGATTGGAAGATACACATTAAACAAACACGTTTTTGCATTATTCAGCGATATAAATATGTTACGAGCATTTAGATTTTTCGGTCATATTTCCGGGTTCAGCTTGACCTTAAGAATTGGAAATTTCCGCCACTGACGGGAAGGAGGACAGGAAAATCTAAACTATCTGTAGCATATTTATATTGCTGAATTATGCAACCACATGTTTGATTAATGTGTTTCTTCGAAGCAGCATATTAGTAAGAAATATCAGTTTTTTTGTAATTAGCTTTATTCTCTTCATGATATACCCAATAATTGGTGTGATATAAAACATAATATTGTCTACCAAAAGGCTAAGTAACAAAAGTGCTGATGGATATATAGCCTTGTACGTCGTGAGTCTATACTATGTGAGTCTGTCTGCCTGTCTATGCGTGCGTGCGTGCGTGCGTGCGTGTGTGTGTGTATGTGTGTGTGTGCGTGCGTGCGTTCGTGCGTGCGTGCGTGCGTGCGTGCGTGCGTGTGTATGCACTACAAACCCACATGACAAACCTAAGGAAACACTTCACTCCTTGATCCACGTGGTGGCCATAGATACAGTGTTACATATCTTTCTTCAGAGGTTCAGGTCAATTTGTCAGAAATTAAAACAAATGCCATCTTTTACTGAGTTTACTGAGATAACACTATGTGAAATGCTGGATCTCTTCATTGACAACGTCGATGTGAAATGGGGGGTAAGACATTTAGGCAGGAAGTAGGCATTCCCATGGGCACCAATTGTGCTCCCCTTCTTGCTGATCTGATTCTTTATGCATATGAATCGGAATTTCTGATCGGATTAGCAAAGTCAAAACAAAGTCAAAACAAAGTCAAAACAAAGTCAAAACAAAGTAACTTTGCTACCGCCTTTAGTGTCTACAGTTGACAGCTGTTGAGGTACAATCGAGCATACTCTTCCTACCAAGAGATCAGAAACCTCCCACGACTCTTACTAAAAAAGTTGTTCGATTAAGGTTAAACGTTCAAGACATCAGCATTTTTTTTTTATTGTCGCTTTTATTTATTTGCGTGCGTGCGTGCCTGCCTGCCTGCCTGCCTGCCTGCCTGCCTGCCTGCCTGCGTGCGTGCGTGCGTGCCTGCCTGCCTGCGTTCGTGCGTAAGGCTTCTCTGACCCATCTGTACCGCTCACTTGGTATACTAGATGTGTCTTTAGCTGAGTTGAATTAAGTCTGGGTATTTCCAAACGCGTGCCATGTGCACTTGGTATGTATACAACACGTTCCTCATGACGTTTATGTGCATAGTTATATCCTCAGCAAAGTAAACCGTACATCATACATAAAATGTATGTCACATGTGTATAAATTGCAATTCTGTACTTAAGGACATGTGTGACTAACCCATGTGATTCTATCGCGCATGTGATTCTAAAAATACCCATGACGTATGTCACTAAGAGGCATCAAATACAATATGAATGTATAAAAGGGCGTAAGAGAAAGGTTTGCGGATAATCCATACACTGCAGCCTACGATAAGTAACGACACGGCACGAAAATTTCCTTCTGTTCAACCTCTAAACCAGACATCACCGATCAAACACGGTCACTGGTAAATATCACCATAATCATTTGTTTATAACGCATTTTATATCAGTATATTTTGAAAGCATATCGAGTACATAACACGTTACATCGCTTTGCTTCGTACAATTCTTTAATATAAATGTTATACAAATCTAGTTTTCAAACCTAAATCATACTAATTGAGGGCTCTGTGTTGAGATTTTTTATATACATGTTTTAACAAAAAGCTACAGGTTTGAAACAGGATGCGATATTGTTTGAGGAATGTGAAAGTATTTATTGACTGATACTAACGTAAACAAATGTTGTTTTGACGGATATGCGAGGTCTGATATCATGCATGTAACGTGTTAGTTATTTATGGTGTCGTGTGGCAGAAATGTTAATACATTCTCTTCCTTCGTACCTACATGAAACCGTCTCCGTGGTCAAGTGAAAAGAGCATCCCTTAAAATCGAAACTAACTGATAAACCACGATGAAACTATATTTAAAGAAACATGGCATATTTTATGATGAATGGATGGAAACATAGATTAAGGCACTGATAATGCATGTTGTAGAATTGAAAATGATTATTTTCTAGTTGTGAATGTCTTAGATTAATGCACTGATATCATGTTGTAGAATTGAAAAATGATTATTTTCTAGTTGTGAATATCAAAGGACCGCTTCCGTGGTCTAGTGCATAGAGCGTCTGCCCGGAGAACGGAAGGTCGGTAGTTCGATCCCTAATCGCGTCATACTAAAACATAGGTTAAATTATGGTACTTGTTGTTACCCTGCCTGGCGCTCGGCATTAAGGGGATAAAACAAGGTCGGCTCGGAGTTCGTACACCTGTCTGAGTATGGTATCCATGCTAAAGAGCGACATGGTATATCAGTGGATTAGCACTAGAAATTCGGCATTAGTCCGGACCAGTACAAGCAGCCACACCGTGCCACGCGAACGCACACTATCATCATCCGAGTGCAATAAACTTTTAAACGCGACATAAAACCCCAATTCACCACACGTAACATACCTGAAAATTTAAATATCATGCTCTTGTCCTGTCCAAGCCAAAACATTATTATTGAGTGAGTGAGTGACTTTGGTTTTACGCCGCTTTTAGCAATAATCCGGCAAAATCACGGCGGGATATTATTATTGGCGACCAACCATTTGATATTTAGGGTTTGGTTAAGGTAAAGAGATTTGTGTTAAAGATTCCGCTCAATTCAAGCTCACTTTCTCACTCACTATAGAAGTAAACTAGTAAGTAATACTAGCTGGACACTTCGGCTTGTTCAAGCATCCCTCGTGAATTAATGCTTAAAGTACGTCACCAAGGCAAAAAAGTAACAAAATTAATTCATTTGGGACAAAGACTGTAATTCCTAGTTGCCCGATAGGCCGTGGTTAATCTATATATTACCGATAGTATTTTTGTGAGAAAATATTGACTAACAGAGATATCAGCTCAATTATTGACGTCTTGGAATGACGTCACATATTATCGCCATGACGTCATGAACAATGGATGACGTCATCTTCAATTTTTTTACGACAATGCATTCATATGGTGTCACGTTGCTATATTCTTCTGCGCAATCAATGAAGACAATGGAACATATGTTGGAATGCTCAGTGAGAACTACTGAAAGTAATTTCCCCTTCAAATCTGTTTTAAATGAAAAAAATAATTTTTGTTTTGTATTTTGAAAATGCACAAAAAATATACGTGCCTCAGGTTAAAAATAATAAAAGAAGTAATTGTTAGCTTGAAACCCTGGATGTCCTCAAAATATAAACGTTTTAATGTAAATGGTACATGTAGCTATTGGTTCTTTAGCAACGAACACGTTTTCAGGAAGGAGGAGCATTTCAACACTTAAATGTTGTCCTGTACACTTTCCTTCTCGCCACTGTAGGAAGAGCCCTACGACATGGATGACCTACAAGCTATGGATGCCATCATGACTGCTCTAGATCTTCTTCAAGGTGGAACCCAGTGTATCAACCAGCATCACCAGGTCAAGATGTCGGAATATGAAGATGTCGGAACAGGTACGGAGTCTGAAATTAATGGAGGCGGTACACCTCCAAAGTCCACGAGTATAACAGGCTTAATTTCCCCAATGCTGGCAGGTGACTATCCATCCCTATCGAGACGTCCGAATTCTTCTGATGTAGGTGTCGCACACAGCGGAGATGCCATCTCTAATTCTGGTGCAGGGTGTGCTTCTAATAGAGGCCCATCAAGACATGGACAAGACTCCTCTTCTGGTGCAAGGGGCGCTTCTCATGTTGGTCAGACATACATTGGTCATGTAACAGAAGGCTTTGCTGACGTTGGCCCGGCATATGAAGGAAGCGCCATCATCTCTACTGGTTCTCTCGATATTCCCCTATTTGTCCAACGTACAGCATATGGGGCATCTATGTTTGACGAGGATGAGGGTGAGGATGAGGTTGATCTCCCTGTACCGCATCTTAAAGGTAGACGCCAAGCTATTGGCCCAAATAGTCCAGTGACGTCGAGTAAGAGCAACCCTGCTACCAAGCGAAAGAGGCCACGCCCCGGAAATAAAATGTCAATGAAGGCGAGTCAGATGGTCCAGGTAGGTTATCTTCCTTGTATCAATAATAAGCTCTACGATCCCGTCGATGTTGTCACTAACACTACCTTACCCATGTGTTTCAGAGCTTGGATCAAGAGCAGGACAAACAACAACGAACCAAGGCCAGAAACATCTACCATGCTCAGATGAGCAGAAGGAGAAGAAAGCTGAGACAAGCGGTCCTGGAACAGGTGGGTCTGGCAGAATTGAAAGCATTTTAGCCATTTCAGTACCTGTTTTGTGTGTTTGTTTGTTTGTTTGTTGTTTAGCGCCGCACTCAGGAATATTCCAGCTATATGATGGCGGTCTGTAAATAATGTAGTCTTGACCAGATAATCCAGTGACTGACATCATGAGCATCGATCCACGCAATTATGATCGATGACATGCATCAACCAAGTCAGCGGGCCTGATCACCCACTCCCGTTAGTCGCCTCTTACGACAAGCATAGTCGCCTTTTATTGCAAGCATGGGTTGCTGAAGACCTATTATACCCCGGATTTTCACGGGTCAAGTACCTTATGTGGGTGAATTGAGTTGAGTTTAACGCCGCTTTGAACAGTATTTTTGTTTTATCACGAAGCGTCAGCCAAAAGGGACAATGATAAGATATATTTTTAAAAATGCGTTTACCAATTCTGTGACATCCACGGTCACTGGAGTGGTGTTGACAAGCCAAAGAGCATATTACCTATTGAATCTGGGATTCTAAACCATGATCATCGAATCCTGTTACGGGCAAAGTACGAAACTCTGCAGAGCTATATCTACATGTAACAGTTTAATCTGTTTATCATCAAAGAGTATACACTGTTGCCGATTCTACATGCATATTATGTTATAAATAGATCTAGATTTATTAAAGCCCGTATTTAGGTTACGAAGCGGGTGATACAATGACACTGATTTGTTTTTTCTCATCTAGGAAACAGCCTGGTTGCAGAGAGACATCAGCCGACTGGAAGCCGACATCAGATGTCTCAGCAAGGAGGTTGACGTTTTCTCTAACGTGCTGACGAATCACTCATGTCTGGATGTCTTCAGTGATGTGTGAATAACATAATAATAATAATTAGCCCCACTAGGCTGATTATCCTCGGAGGGACGAAAGACACCAACAGTGATGTGTCAACACGGAAGACACCATCAGTGATGTGTCGTCACGAACAACTTCATGGCAGACACTGTTACGGTCAGTGTGTGAACAGCCTTGGCTGATAAAAGTAAAGCTGTTTGGTTTCATACCCCTATGTCAAAAACATTTATGCGAGCTCTGAACTCCCCAAATGGGAATTCATCTGGTTATTCCGTTACAAAGGACAAGGGATTGCTACCGATAGGGCAAGACGTGATAAACCTATCCGAGAAACCTGGTGTCATCACTGATTTTTATTGATCCATTCAAAAGGTTATCAACCCTTGCACGCCCAGTGGAATCTGTTTCAGTAGATAATCGAAAGTGCTTCGTATGACTAAAAGTCCTCTTCTTGTTCAGACACTTGCAAGTTTAATGACTTATGACACGATCAATCGATGGTTATTGCTGAAATGAGGGAACAATTATTTAATCAAAATCCAATGGTGATCCGTTCGAAGACCCAAGATGAATTCCAAATTCCAAGAAATCACCAAAATTAACATATTTCCGGATTAACAAATAATAAGAAGGGATTATTGCCCCATTGAATATTTACCGACGTTACTTATAAGAAGAGTCTGGCGTATTGGACTTCTGGATGAACAAGTGTTTGAAATAATTTTGAAACCCAACGAGACAGTGGGGCAGGTGATCCATCTTCAAAGTTACCTGTCCGCATTCAGACATTATAAATATTGAAATATCGTGACAATTAAGAGACAAATCGCGTCTTGAGTCAGTTGAAATAATGCTAACAATTACTTAAGAATCAACAAGAAGTTACAATAAAACTTAATACGGAAGTTGTCTTAAAATTATCTGCCAGACAGTCAGACAGAAGGAGGAAAATCTCATGCAGCCCTACAGAAAAGTTACCTGCCACGGGCAGGCGGGCAGGCAGTTATTTCGGACACTGGGATGAACGGGTTTCAGATGAATGGTGTTTCAGTGAAATATGATATACTTGAACTCCTTTGTCTTTGACGCCATGTCCTTCATTTACGATAGATACCATGCGTTGCTGCGTATGTAATTGAATTCATAATTATTATTGACCTTTTGTTCCTTTTATTCACCATATATGTAACGGTTTGGAGAACAACTTATCTCGTATAATATAGTTATGATAGTCGTATCAATCCCTGTGTTATACTACAGTACGTAATCAATGTTGACCTTGGACTAAGACGTGGGGCGTTTTTAACGTCCACTGTCGTGACCTTGACCAGCACTCACGACGTTCTGTTAACAGCTGGTGTCATGTGTGCAACTTTGCAGTAGGTGTGGGTCTTTGATATATCTCTTTCATTTTCTTGGCAATTATTTCCTGTTTACTATTGACCAGTCTCCGAAATCGCTCAGGTTCCTTTGATTCATACGGAAATTGCTGTGTATAAATAATAGCTTGTTTATTTTATTTTCAAATGAAACATTCGTCATGGTCTTTTTTATATTTATTGTATATTTATATCATAAAGGCTTGCTTAATTGTCAATTAAATTATAAAGTTTTGCGCGAATAATGAATAAATTGGAGTCAGCTGTAAACTATGTGGTTTGTTATTTCTCATTTGCCAGCTTATATTGTATCGAGGGATTAATTCAATTTATTAAGACAATATTTATCCCGGCCCTTTAATGTTAAGAGCATTGAGAAGTCGTTCTCTTTGACATCAAAACTAATCGTCACGTGGAGAGGTTCATTTAGAGTAGGGTTAACCACGGACCTATATAACCTTATACAAGTCCCTGGGTTAACACATCAGGAATGCATTTTACAAACAAAAATACGCTTGGATGTACATCAATGTAAACAAAGGTTTATTTACGCCATTCAAAGCGTTGACAAAGACACCTTCATGTAACTTCCTGGTTTCTTTCCCTATGCTCTGGGCACACAAACGTGTGACCCCCTTATCCGGGAAGGGAAAATAAATGACACGAGCTTTAGAAAAAGGAACTTTCCATAGTATGACCTTGATATCTGAACCTTTATGTCATGCAAAGAGGGGTGGTCGGGGAGCCTAGTGGTTAAAGCGTTCGCTCATTACGCTGAAGACCCGGGTTCGATTCCCGACATGGGTACAATGTGTGAAGCCCATTTCTGGTGTCCCCCGCCGTGATATTGCTGGAATACTGCTAAAAGCGGCGTAAAACTATACTCACTCACTCATGCAAAGAAGGTCACAAGCAGTTTGTGATTTAAACTATTCACGTCGTCTTTGAAAATAACAATCCACATGTTACAATTTGTTTATTTCAAAATGTACGTTTTGTCCAAGAATTCACAACATCACAATTTGCTGTCATTACGGAAAATACTTACAAAATGTCGATACATGACAGGATAGTAGAGCGTATTCTTCCGTTACTTATTTGTTACAAAGCAACTTTATGAAGACATTCTTATATGTTGGGGTTTGGGTTTGGATTGATTGATGGCGATGCTGTGATGTGATTTTTAAACAAAACGTTACAATCTGTTTTCTTCTCACTGTCTTTCGGAAACGAAATCAAATCGAAACATGAACTGATTTATCTGGGTCCAACACGTCATTGTTAAACATGTGTCCTTGTGGAAATTTCCTTCACGAACAATGATGCAACGGAATGTTGATAAACAAACTCCACGTGCGATTCGCCAATATTAGATATCATACTACAGTTTCACCTGAAGTCATGGTTATAAAAAGCAACTCGACACTGAGGTTTGACATACATGTAGCAAAACAATTATACAAAACATACTCCATATGGGGGATTCCTGAAAACATTCAGACCTATAATTAGCGACTCAGTTGAAAGGCTGACCTCACTGCAATTCCACTCATGTAAATTTGTATTTTTCTATCTGCGACATTAACATTGCAAGGCTCAATAATCTATTCCTACTGACTTCACTGACGGAGAGCGAAAGCTCGGGGGTTCGACCCCGGACCCCTCATACCAAATTAAAATATGGTACTTGTTGTTACGTCATGGTATCTCAGTGGGCTTGCACGGACTGGTACAAGCAGCCACACATACACGTGAAGGCATGTACGTTGTGTAAGTGCAGTGATCTTGAACGCGCGTTCCCCATTTCACTTCACCTCCCCTCTTCACATAACACAATGCATACATCAAACGGCATAAAATGGTGCAGAGATATAGCCAAATTTAAATTAAGACATTCATATTAGAAAGTGTGAAGTATATACACAACGTAAACGAAAAGTTGAGTGGCACCTGTCACAAACTCAAGCAAAGGCAAATCAAGTGTCCCCTGCACAAACACGGGTACAAATCGAAATAGGAAATTGTGTCGTTTTCGTCACTGATGCGTCAAATTACCAAATATGCTTTGGCAAAGGCATTGAATTTTGTAACGCTGATCAAAAATCTTTTGAGCAGGAGTCGTACAGAGCTTTTTGAAATATTGGTGGAAAGAGCATGCTTGACTGTATCTCAAAAGTTGTTAAATGCAGACACCGAAGGTTGGAGCTGCAGGAATATTGCTCGCCATAAGGGAAAGTTGACTATTTGAAAGTTGAAATCATTCCTTTTATCATACAGTCTTGTGGATATTTCTTGTCACTCTGAGTGTTTCTGCAGAGATCTAAATATGAAACAGACGAGGCGGTTTCCTTGGAGTCTTTCATTTCTAGTTCAGGTAGGTAAATTAATGGAAGTGAATTAGCTGTTTCAATGTTATTGAAAAACTGGAGTTGCTGGAACATGACTCAGCATAAAGGGAAAGTTGTTTATTGGAGCTTTTAGCAATATTCCAGCAATATCACGGCGGGGGACACCAGAAATGGGCTTCACACATTGTACCCATGTCGGGAATCGAACCCGGGTCTTCAGCGTGACGCTCGAACGCTCTAACCACTAGGCTACCCGACCGCCCCGTTGATTATTGGACAACAGAGAACATATACCTTATTATGTCAAGGGGACGCGAGTCTGATTTCACCGTAGTTTAAATAATTGTCTGTTCAAAATACAACTATTGAAATGACTATTTAACATGATGTGATAGTTTACTGCATATATTACGATATTTCAAAAAACGTTATAATTAAATATAACCACAAAATGGTCTTGCAGTATTGAAATCTCCAAGAACCAGGGTAACAATAATCTACCCGAAACCAACAACAGTAGAACTGTACTTTGTATTTATGGGATCAAACCAATATGACATGTATGATATGTGTGAGAGGTGTTGGTGGGGGTGGGGTGTGTGTGTGTGTGTGTGTGGGGGGGGGGGGGGGGGGGGGGGGGGGGGGGGGTGGGGTTGCTAGTCCTAGTCCGGAATGATGCCGATACATAGTGCTAGCCCACCGACAATCCATGCCGCAGTTTAACATGAATACCCCACTAAGACACAGTATACTGACTCCGAGCCGGCCAGTCCTTGTTTTAGCCCCTTTATGCCGAGCACCAGACAGAGTAACAACAAGTACCTTCTTTTAACGTCTTTTGGTATGACGCAGTCAGGGATCGAACCCCGGACTTCCGCTCTCCGTGCGGAAACTCCACAACTAGACTACGGAGGCGGTTCCTATTGGAATATTAATTGATTGATGATGTTAACTTGTTTTAGTTTAGTTAGTAAAAAGTTTTATAATCTTTGTAAATTCGCTTCAGTAAAACCTGTTAATGATCTTATCATATATTTTGCCGTCCTCCTTCTGCTTTAAAAAGCCGTTTGTATCTATATTCATCATTGTCATGAGAAGATCTAGCGAAACATTTGGATGTTTTACGATTTCTATATAACCGGATATATTTACCTGACACATCATATGGTTTGTATAAACAACGTCCATGCTTCTACCACGTGAAAGTCACTTTACACCCAACAAGACTACGTCATCTTCCCGGGGCAAGAGAGTTAACTGACTTTAAAAGTCCAGTTTCCATCCTTGCCGAATTATGCTGGAATTCCTGGGTTCGATCGTAGCGCCACCAGTGGCTATAACGAGTTATGTCCCTTCTATGCCTCTCCTATGGACCAATCAGATTCCACCTCTCGTATTACTTGCATTAATTTGCTTCAAACAAAACGGCGGCGCCCAGTCAAGACGATCTGATCGATAATCAAGATGTATAAAATGTGATAAAACGAGTTTTAGATCGCGAAGTGCACCAAATCACGTGAGCACCTTGATTAAAAACATGAACAGATTTAGAAAATATCTGTTGACGACTAGTTAGCGGTGCACATGCTTTGCAAATCCTCCAATCGACCGAAATCTGCATGACAGTTTACGAACCGGATTTCGATTTCGGAGCGCGATTTTGATTGGACTATGCATGGACTCGTTAGTCCAGCCAAAATGTAACTCCAGCCTAGTTCGGCAAGGGTGGAAACTGGACTTTTATAGTCAGTTAACTCACTTGCCTCGGGAAGATGACTTAATTAGATCTGGTAGTCAAAATGTGATTTCGTTCATGGTGTGCCATCTACCTCAACGACATGGATCGTTGCTCATAATATCAACCCCTGGTTGTCTGGTCCAGACTCGACTATTTACAGGCCGCATATAGTTGTAATATTGCTGAGTGTGACGTTAAACATTACCCAAATAAATACGATATTGAGGTGAGGTGAGGTGAGGTGAAATTGGGTTTAACGTCACGTCCAAGATTATTGCACTTATAAAGCGACGTGCATGCACGTGTATGTGTGTGTGTGGCTGCTTGTACTAGTCCGGACTGATACCGATTTATAGTGCTAGCTCACTGAGATACCATGCCGCAATTTAACATGAATACCCCACTCAGACACAGTATACTGACTCCGAGCCGACCAGTCCTTGTTTTAGCCCCTTAATGCCGAGCGCCAGACAGGGTAACAACAAGTACAATCTTTTAACGTCTTTTTGTATGACGCGGCCCGGGATCGAACCCTGGACCTTCCGCTCTCCGGGCGGACGCTCTACCACAAGACCACGGAGGCGGTCAATACGATATTGAACTAAACCGACAAGAACAGATCGCTGTAAAACTAAACTGCACATGAAAAATACCTCAATAATGGCGATGATAGAACTATTAAAGGTTAAAGAACTATTTCGTGAGATCAGACGTAAATGTGGATGAACATGAAAGAATATCAACTATGAAATCAAGATCACGGGGTGTTTGTTTGTTTGTTTGTTTGTTTGTTTGTCAAGCGCCAGGCAGAGTAACAAGAGGTACCTTTTTTTCACCTATTTTAATTTGACCTTGCCGGAGACTGAACTACCGACTTTCCACACTCCGGGCAGTGATAGGATACAGCGTACTATTAAAATCACATTAACCTTTCACTCAGTCATTTTGTTGAAGTTGAGTGAGTGAGTGAGTATGGTTTTACGCCGCTTTTAGCAATATTCCAGCAATATCATGGCGGCAGACACCAGAAATGGGCTTCACACATTGTACCCATGTCGGGAATCGAACCCGGGTCTTCGGCGTGACGAGCGAACGCTTTAACCACTAGGCTACCCGACCGCCCCTTGTTGAAGTTGAATAAATAACTTGTCTAATATA